GTACGTTGATGATATAATTGTTACTAGCCCTTCTTCCACTCATTGTAATGATGTTATTTCAAAGCTCAGTGCTCAGTTTCCAGTCAAGGATTTGGGTGACCTACATTATTTTCTTGGCCTTGAAGTACAGAGATCTTCATCAGGTATATTCATTCATCAATCCAAATATATTCTGGATTTACTCAAACGATCACACATGGATGGAGCTAAGCCTTGTCTTACACCCCTTGGTTCTACTAAGCTCGATCTTTCTGGCCCTTTCTCTCTGATCCTGCATAGTACCGATCAATTGTCAGGGCTCTCCAATACTTAACTTGGACCCGGCCGGACTTATCCTTTGTTGTTAATTTGGTGTGCCAGTTCATGCATTCACCCAGAGGGCAACATTTTCAGGCCGTCAAACGGATTTTACGATACTTAAAAGGTACACTTGGTCTTGGTTTGTGGTTTCCAAAATCCTCATTTTCTCTGATGCTGACTGGGCGGGTTACCCGTGGGATCGACGATCTGCAGGCGAGTTTTGTATTTTTCTTGGTCCATCTCTCATTAGTTGGTCTGCAAAGAAGCAACACACAGTTGCTAGATCCTCTACCGAGGCTGAGTACCGCTCTTTAGTTCATACTGCAGCTGAACTCACTTGGATCTGTCAATTATTCACTGATATTGGTTTCTAGTTACCTATCATTCCTCAGATTTGGTGTGACAATGTTTCTGCTATTGCCTTAGCATCAAATCTTGTTTTTAATGCTCGTACTAAGCATGTCGAAATTGACTATCACTATATTCGTGAGCTAGTTTTAGCCCACTTGATCCGAGTTTAGTTTGTTTGCAGTGTTGATCAACTTGCGGACCTTTTACCAAGTCTCTTCCTCGACAAAGATTTCTTCATCTTCGGTCCAAGCTTTCTCTTCAATCCTCTCCGTTTAGCTTGAGGGGGTGTGATAAGGATAAAATAGTACCTCATTGTAATGGTAACTCATAATAGTTACTATTTCAGTTAGATAGTTACTGTAGGGAATTTATTTTGTTTTTACACAAAGTGTAACTATACATTCATGTGTAATATTAATTTGAGAATTAATGAGAAATAATCAGAAACATTATTCTCAATACATTTCACCGCCACCGTTAGTTCTGCCAGAGTCCGATAGGGACACAGAGGATAATAACAACATCGGGTTCGGGTTCCCGAGTTTCTTGTTCGGTGGATCCATGGAGCTCATGGCTGTTCCCAAGAGGAAGGTATATATGTCTGTGTACTTGGGGTTTTGGGGTTTTATGGGTTTTAGGGTTCTGGGTTCTGGAATTTATGTATCGTCATTTGTTTAGATTAAAAGTGAATTCTTTTTGTTTTCATTTGAAATTGGCAAATGGGTTTTCAATTCCATGTTATATTGTTTGCTCTGATGATTTTATATGGCTTGTGTATGGTAGAATTGCTTGTTCTTTACTATTTTAGCTTGTTTTTTGTGAATTTTACTTTTAAATTCCGCTAATGAAAGGATATTTAGTGCTTATACCGGTAGAAATTCGAGCTTAACATTTTGATTCATGGTAAGGAGGATTTGCTTTTATTTTAAATTTCTTTCATACTGTGATTATCATTCTTGAAGGCCATCGTCCCCTGTTTGATTCATCGTCTTAATCTTTCATAGATGCTTTTTGTTTTCATGTTTTTTGTTACTGGTTGAAGATTTAAAATCAAAGCTGGCATGTCATGCATGAAGGGAAATCTTAGAGATTAATATGGGATTTCGAAATGACTAGCATGCATATACAATTCAAAATTAATATACATAAGCAACGGAAGCATGTTATCAAATAATATCAAAGCTATAGTCATGCAAATCCCCTTCAAGGTTCATAGGTTTATATATAATGCATCTAAAACTTTTAAGTTAAGAACAAAGTGAAGGAATAGATCTATACCTCTTGATCTAGATTTTAGACCAAGGATGGACCACCTCCAAGCCCTTTGCTCCTTGAACTCCTTGAGCCTAGCCTCCCTCCTTGCCTCCTCCACTTTGTTGGTAAGAGTGCTCCTAGGTTCTCCTTTAGTCTCCAAAGGAGAAGACCTCTAAAGATCCACACCCACTAGTGTAGTGAGATGGATGGAGGAATAACCAAAAGAGTGAAAAAGGATTAGCTAAATCACACTTAAGGTGGCCGGCCTTTGTGTAGTTTTAGAGAGCTATTTCTTTTGCCTCTTTGTTGTTTTAAAACACAAAAAACCCTAAGGAATAAATCTCTATAAAGTTCCTTATATAGACAAAAAGAAACCTAGTCAACAACTTGACTTAATATCTCTCCCTCTCCACTTTAAATGGCCGGCCCCTTTGTGTTAGTTTGGGCTTTGGGCTTTTATTTATTTCTAGTCATCCAATGCTTGAATAAAAGCCCAATGGGTTTAGGCCCAATGGGCCCAATTAAACCCGAACGTTTCATTAAGCCCAAAACGATCTTTTATCGCTTTTATGATTTCTTTAGACTTTCTAAATTAATCACAACACTTAATTAATCCAATTAATTATTTCCATCATCCATTAATTACTTACCACAAGAGTGTATCGGTGTACAATCATTTTAGGTTCTAATTAGCAAGGTAGTGAGGTGATTGACATCAATCCAATTGATTATATTTAATTCAATCACTTAGTGAATTAAAACTTCCTTTTAATTCACCTTCTTCTTTGATAACTACATTTAATCATCTAGAAGAACTCACAAGCTATGAGTGACATCTAACCATATATCATAGCTACCCAAGCTAATGTAGAAGTTGTTTGGAGAACCTATTCAGTTGGAATTACAATGTAATTCGATCCTTCTCTAAAACAATACTCTCAATCACATTACTAGGGTATGGATATATCATGTCAAACCCCTAATGTGATTATTCCTTCTTATATGATTCAATTGAGTCGTATAGGAACGCTTTCCTTTATTACGCTCGATACTTCGGCCGAAGATTCCCGAATCATATCTTAGAGTATTCTTCCTCTCTTATCGAGGATTAGAGATTCCTTGTTGCGCATTCACTTGCCTTCATGACTAAGTGGCTTAACCCCAATTATGCCGTGGACACCCACGAATGGGGTGACTTTGACATAATCAAAGATTAAGTACTTAGCCACAAGACAACGACGATGCCTCAGGTCAAAGGACTACTTACATTATTCCAACCATTAGAGTTACTTGCTTGACATGTGAGTAGACCTCCATGCAAGTACTCTCGTTCGATTGTGTTCAGTGAACTCATTCCCTTAATGAGCACCTACATACTTGTCTTAGTGTCACCACACGAATGGGATGAGACTTTCCATCCTTCCATTTGAAGCAGACACAGTATGTACCGGTCTAAGCATTGTCAGTATCCCTCCGACAATCCAATGACCAGGAACCTTTTTGGACATTATGGTTATGTGAATAAGGTCTCTGTAGTCTAACATCATTAGATTACTTCTCAATCGATCCATTGTCTATGGATTCACTATTTAGGACATATATCGTTTATTGAGATAGTCCTAATTAGTATCTTTGCCATTTGATGTATAAGAATCATCTATACATCCATTCATTTGTCCTGTGAAAGGTTTCTTCTAAAGATTGACTTTCCAGGCATATTTCCAACAATGCATGCTATAACTTTGATGTTTCATTTGCTTTTTTTGTTGTCATTTTGTTATTGTAATGGACGTTTGGAAGATGCGGAGATTTGATATTTAAGGACGTATATCGTGCAGACTTCTCCCCACAAGAGAGGCATAAGAAATGGCCCAAAGGCTCTAAAACCTGTCCCAGTGATAGTTCGATGCAGGTAAGTGCTTTGTGACTTTTGTAAGCTTTTCATTTCAATGAGGATGTACTTTTAGAAATATTTCTACTGTACTATAATGAAATATAGTTGAATAGTTAGCTGGAGGTTTGAATTGCTGTTGATAATTTGGTTGCGAATTATCGGAGAGAACTAGAACAACAAAGTTTTATCGCACTAAGTGAGGTTGGCTGTATAAATACTAGAATGCCACTACACTCAGTTTTGCACCAAATTTTCCGTTAGTTCCAAGTACTCCATGTCTTTTCTTAAAGTCTCTTTCCAATTTTTCTTAGGTCTTCCTTCACCTCTTTTCTCATGAGCCTCCATCTAATAATTATATTTTCTAACTAGAGCATCTGTAAGTCTTCGGTTCACATGTTCAAACCACCTTAACCGATTTTCTCTCATTTTATCTTCAATTGCGGCCACTTCTACTTTAATTCGGATATCCTCATTCTTAATCATGTCCCTTCTCATGTGCCCACACATCCAACGAAATATTCTCATCTCCGCTACACTCCTGTGGTGACACTTGACTGCCAGCATTTCGTGCCATAAAGCTTGCTGGCCTTATTGTTGTCTTATTAAATTTTACCTTGAGCTTTAGTGACATATACCATGCACACAACACACTCGATGCACTCTTCCATTTCATCCATCCATCTTGTATTGTATGGTTGAGATCCCATCCAATTCTTCATTCTTTCGCAAGATAGATCCGAGGTAACGAAAGCATTTGCCTTTGGTACATCTTGATTTCCAATCCTCACACCTATCTCATTTTGACCCATCTGCGCTAAACTTGCACTCCATATACTATGTCTCTTTGACCTACTTAAGCGAAGACATTTAGGGCCCGTTTGTTTGACCGGATTAGGAAGGATTGGACTGGACTGGACTTAGTCCCTTGTTTGGTCTGCACCAGGATTAGGTTTAATGACCTTAGGTCGGACTCGCTCGGATTATACCTCCTTACGAGTTCTTAACGAGGATCCCCAATTTCAGGCAGACTCGTAAGCCCACCGCGAGAGAGTCACTCGTCCAAGAACCCCCCAACGTCGCTAGTCCTGCTTGTCCTCATCTCTGCGTCTTCCCTTATCGTCGTCCTTGCCCTGCTCCCTCATCGTCGTCCACGAAAAGACTTGGACTAGAGTGTGAGCTTGTAAAGACAAGGAAGAAGAAGATGACGTTGGGTCTGATCAATGCCAACCCCGTGGTCCACACTATGAAGGAAAGGGTTGCTTGCACCGATGATCTCCACGCTGACGACACCATCGATCCTCTCGATATCTATGATATCCTTTCCCGATCCATCTCTTACCGCCTTTCTTTTCTTTTTTTTTTCTTTTTCTTTTTTAATTTAATTATGTGAAATTTTGCTGAAATTTGCCATCTTTGACTGGAAATTGCCAGTTTTGTGAGAGATATTAGAGATCCGGAGCACCCCTACTCGTTAGAGCAGCTCAACGTGCTTTCGGAAGAGTCGATTATAGTGGATGACAAGCTTGGCCGTATTCTGTGAGTATCATTTCTCAATTTTGAGCTTCAATTTTGCAATTTTTTGGTAATTTGGATTCTGGGTTTTTAAAGAAATCACCAAAGTTTTGATCTTTATTAATTTTTTTATTTTTATTTTTTTTGAAATTTGATTGAAGGATAACTTTTACGCCGACGATTCAGCATTGCAGTATGGCAACAGTGATAGGTCTGTGCCCGAGAGTTAAACTGAAACATTGCTTCCCTCCTCATTACAAGGTCCGTCAGTTTGCTATGTTAGAGATTTTGGTGCGAAAATATGTTCCAATTAACCCAGATCATGAGATTTGTAGCATTACTCTATTACACAATGGCAAAAATTTTAGGGCGTTAGGCACATGTATTGGAGCTATTAAAATAAAACAATAATGTAGTCCTAGTCTAAGCAAACACAAATCTGTTGAACAGTACTGTTTTCATTATCCTGCTTCTTAGTCCGGTACTGCACCAAACGCTTCACTAAGTTAGTCTATCTTAGTCTAGTCTAAGTCAGTCTAGTTTGGTCCCTGCAGCTAGTCTAGTTTGAGACAGTCCGGTGCAACAAACGCACCCTTAGATTCCAACAGCTCCCTCCAGAGGTTAAGCTTCGTATTTACTCCCTCTTGCACTCATCTATCAGCTCTATATCATCTGTGTAAAGCATACACCGGGGATATCATCTTGAATATGCCTCGTTAAGTCATCCATTACTGATGCAAAAAGGCAAGGACTTAAAAGTCTTGGTGTAATCCTATGGTTTTGGGAAAATTTTCAGTTTGTCCTTCATAAGTTCTTACTACAGTCCTTGCTCCATCATACATATCCTTTGTTGTTTGGATATATGCTACTCGACTACTTTAATTATTAATGACCCTCTGTTGACCTGGTATAGAAAATGTCGGTATTGTTTGTGTGACTTCTTAGACAATTGAAGTTTATGGTTGATTCATAATCCATGTCTTGAGTCGATGAAATAATTTTTGTTTTGCCTGCAAACAGCATGGAAAATGATTTGACAAATTCGGGAAAAGCACGAAATGAACAAAATTAGATGTTTATGTTTTTATTGGAGATGCATTATAATGCTTAAGCTGTTCTTGTAAATTGTTAAGAAAAGATATAATATTGTTTGTCACAAAATATGAGAACTTGTATGTTGCTATGTTTTTCGCTTCTTGTTCGGTAAACCCAGAACCTAATCTCGTGACAACCCAGTATGTAGTGTAGTTGTATATGATTTTAGCTTATATTTGCAATGAAATTCAGCATATAGCAATAAAATAGTAACTTTGTCGTGTAATGTTTGGTTGCAGGGCTTGTGATCGTGTCAAGCTAGCACACTTCTATTGTTGTAGCGGTAGGGAAAATGCCGGTGAGCGTGATGGCTCAAGAAGTTGAGATTGAAGTCTATAGAGCACCCAACTGTAGTAGACGTGTAGGATAGAGAGGTTGAAAGTGTTTTAGACTTGAGAATCGATCTGTAGCTTTCTATGTCGAGTTTGTTCTTTCTTTTCCCTTACCAGTATACAGTTTATATCAAATGGCTTCTTTCCTTTTCTGTTATTGTGCAAAAACTGAGAGATGTGGTAGGGCTGTAAGCAAAATAAACGAATTGGTGTTTTTGTTCACTGAATGAAAGGCAATTTTTCACCTCAGGTGCTGTTCGTCCTTCTAACGTTCACTGAACTTAATTACCTACCGAATACAGGGCCTCAATGTTATGAACTGGTTGTGATTGTCTTAATCACAATGAGGTTTTAGCTAATAACATTAAGGGCTAAATTGTAAGGTAGTTAAGGGTAATTGTAAGGAGTTAAGCATGGGGGGTTCAATTGTAACGAGCTAAGAATTATTAGAGGTTTTAGAAATTACTAATAGTAGTGTCCAGGTGGCATTCTTGTATTGGGGATTATGCAGCATGAGGCTCTTGAGTTGATTGTAACAGGCAGATTTTGGAAATTAATAGAATATTCCTTGTTTCCTTTCTCTTTATCCTCTTGCCATTTCCATACTGCCTAGCTACCGGTGAGATTGATTCTCCGGCACTGGTGTGATCTTAACATTGGTATCACCCTGCGATCCTGGATTTTCTCTTCCGTGTATGCCCCGTCCTAAACCAAACACTCGTTCAAACACCATGGATGCTTGCTTTGCCGCTTTTGAAGCTGAATTTCCATCCATCATTCGTGACGCCGTGAAATCCGCTTTGGATGATCAATTCTCCTCTCGGCTTGATGCACGTCTTCCTGCATATTTTGAGCAGTTCTGTCGTGAGCTCCACCATGAATTTCCCGGTCGTCGGGAGGGTGAAGGGTCCTCTCACCCACCCCCTTCCGATTTCCTTGCTCCTCCAGATCTGGCACAACTTCAGCCACCTGACAGTCCGGGCAAACAGCCTCCCCAACCGCCTTGGCACTCGCCTTGGCAATAGTGGCTCGAATTTCCCCGTTTCACTGAAGGCGACGATCTCATTGCTTGGATCTACAAAGCAGAGCAGTTTTTTACCTTCTACGGGATCCCGGACGCTCACCATGTTCACACTGCTTCCTTCCATTTTGAGGCAGAGCTTCTTCACTGGTTTCACTGGATGGACTGTACCAACACCAAACCCACTTGGCCGGAGTTTACCCAAGCTCTTTGTCGTGAGTTTGGACCCTCTGAATTTGATGACAGTGCCGAGGCTTTCTTTAAACTTCGACACACAGGTACTCTTCGTGATTACATCGCTGAATTTTGTCGTTTGGCTACTCGATCCCCGAAGATTAGTCCTCTTTTATTACGTAGTTGCTTTCTTTGGGGGTTAAAAAAGGAACTGCGCTACGATGTTAAGTTGTTGAAACCTGCAATTGTGCATGAAGCTATTGCCATTACAGTGCAACTCGATTCAAAACACACTGAGCTGAAATTACCTCTGTCTCAGCTTTCTACATACTCTAAACCCTCCTCTACCACCATCACCCCTCTTTCCCATACTCTGCCTAAAACTAACAACCTTGCTATTAAGAAATTGACTCCTGCTGAGATTCAAAGGAAGAGGGACGTGGTGAATGTTGGTTCTGCAATGACAAGTGGGTCCCTGGGCATAAGTGCGGCCTAAAGCAACTGCTCATGATGGAAATATTTGATTCCGAAGTTCCAGAAGAAGATATAAGGGCGGCCCTACAATTCAAACTATGAAGATGGTTGGTCAAGTTAATGGCCACACCGTGAAGATCTTACTCGATTTGGGTAGTTCTCACAACTTTGTTGATTCCAAACTATTAAAACAATATGGATGGCAAGCTCACACCACCAGGTCTTTTGAAGTCATGATCGCGAATGGGGGCAAGATTACAAGTTCTGGTTGTTGCAAGGCCATAGAGTTGACTTTAACAGGGTATCATTGTTCTACAGATTTGTATTCCCTGCCACTTGGTGGTTGTGATGTGGTTTTAGAGGTCCAATGGCTTTCCACCGTCAGTCCTGTGTTATGGGATTTCCAGCTCCTTACTATGGAGTTCACCAAAAAACACCATACTTATAAGTTGTCTCATCATTCCTCTAATGCCTCAAGCATTCACCAAGTCTCATTACATCAGCTTCAAAAAGAGTTAACTCACTCTAATTTGGGATTGTTCTTGTACTCCATGGACAAGGAGAAGTTCGAATCCTATGAATTGAGTTCCGTTCAGTTGCAGGAATTGCAGCACCTATTGCATGACTTCGAGGCTATTTTTACCGTGCCTACTTAGCTCCCTTCTCCACGACACCATGATCATCACATTCCTCTCCTGCAAGGGGCAAAACCACTAAGCATTTGACCATACCACTACGGACCATTGCAAAAGACCGAAATCGAAAAGGCAGTTCAAGAGCTACTCAAGGCCGAGTTCATAAGGCAAAGCCATAGTCCATTCTCTTTTCCTGTGCTATTAGTGAAGAAGAAGGATGGTACTTGGCGAATGTGCATTGATTATAGGGAGCTCAATGCCCTCACTATTAAGGATATGTACCCCATACCCCTTATTGATTATTTATTAGATGAATTGCATGGATCCCTCTATTTCTCTAAGTTGGACTTGCGCTCTGGATATCACCAGATATTAATGCAACCTGGAGACATTGAAAAAACTGCATTTCGGACTCATGAGGGCCACTATGAGTTCCTAGTAATGCCTTTTGGGCTTACAAATGCTCCTGCTACATTTCAAAGTTTGATGAACGATGTGTTTAAGCCTCATTTGAGGAAATTTGTGTTAGTCTTCTTTGATGACATCCTCATTTATAGTAAGACCTGGGAGGCTCATTTGGCTCACTTGAAGGCGGTGTTTGAGCTTTTACAAGCCAATCAACTATTTCTCAAGAAATCCAAATGTTCATTTGGACAAAATCGGGTGGAGTATTTGGGACATGTTGTATCTCGAGAAGGAATGGCACCTGACCCTGGAAAAATCCACGTTATACAAAACTGGCCTGCACCAAAAATTGTCAAGGACTTGAAAGGCTTCTTGGGTTTAACAGGCAACTATCGAAAGTTTGTCTCGGGTTATGGCAAAATTTGCCAGCCTTTATATCGGTTGACAAAGAAGGATGGGTTCCATTGGGTTGTAGAAACTCAGCAAGCCTTTGATAAGCTTAAGGTCGCCATGATTTCTCCACAAGTTTTGGCTTTACCAAATTTTTCGAAACCATTTAAAGTGGAATGATGCTTCTGGTTGTGGTATTGGAGCTGTGTTGCAACAAGGTGGACGACCTATTGCTTTTTCCAGCCAGTCACTTGGTCTAAGGAATCAAGCACTTTCCACTTATGAGAGAGAGTTCATTGTCGTGGTCTCTGCAGTGAAGAAATGGTAGAATTATTTGCAGGGAATGTTGGAAGTATGCCCACAAAGCCACTCATTTAATGTAATAGCTTTTGGAATACTTAATGTATTAAACTATTAAATGTTTAATGAAGGGCAAAGCTTATTGTTAATCACTATTTATTGTATCATGTGTTTAAGCAATAAGGGAATCCAAGGAATGTATTTGATCTAAGAGAGAAGTGATTTAAGTAAGTTAGATTAACGAGACCTTTCTCTTATGTTCATTCCTAAAACGTTCCTAGCCATAGGATTGCCAATTGGGCATTGACAATCCGCTAAGGTTAGTATGTGTTATGTCGACTCAAGCGTGAGTATGACTAGTTTCAAGTCATTTAGTGTTTGACACTAAGACAAACACATAGGTGCTCGAAAGAGTAATCGAGTACACTGAACAACGATCAAAAGAGAGTTCGAACATACATGTCATGTAAGAACTCGTAAGTTGCAATATGCAAAGTAGTCCTTTGACCTGAGGCATCATAGATGTCTAATGGTTAGGTCATTGATCTTTGATCATGTCAAAGGCATTCCATTGAGAGTGTCCAC